GGAGTGCAGGAGGAATTCCTGGAGCTGCTGGAGCTCCTGCTGTCCCGCGCCCGCACCTACGTCTCCTCGCTGGCTGCCATGGAGCGGTTCCACCTGAGCCTCTCGCAGTGCGTGGTGCTGCGCTACCACTGGATCGAGCCCTTCGTCCGCTCGCTCAGGGAGCGCCTGGCCCCCTTCCACAGGTAGGGACGGCCGCGCCAAAAAAAAGCCTTCCCTCTCCCTCGGCGTCCGGGCTTCACCAGCATCCGCACCCGGAGCCATCGCTGGTGCTGCACCAGCAAAGCCCTGGGGAGTCATCGCTGGTGCTGCACCAGCAAAGCCCTGCGAAGTTTTCCTCTCTGCCTCGGGATGCGGCACCAGAAGGTCAGGTTTGGGCTTTCCAGGACGAGGCCGGAGCTGTGCCAGCCTCTAAACCACGGATGGTTCCAGCACTCACATCTGGCTCAGGCATCTGCTGAGCATCAGCGGCTTCTGTTGCTGCCCAGACTTCGGAGGGCTGGAAACCACTGGGATGGATTAATTTGGGCCCAGAAAGGTTTTGGTTGCACCGATTCGGTCCCGTTGTGGCATGCTTTGCCTTTATCTTTCCACAGCTCGGTAGAAATCCTGTCCCCTCCCCATCCTCTGGGTGGTTTTGGATTGTTTTTTTTTTCCTCACTTTCTTAATTCAGGTTTTTCTGTGTGGCTGACCAAGTGAAGGTTTACACCAACCAGAACAAAACCAGGTGAGCGAGCAGCGGTGCAGCCTGCCTGCCTAGGGGGGAGGCTGGGCAAGGTGCTGGGTGGATGGGAGGCATCACCGTGCCGGTCCCACGGTGACGGGGCTGAGCCGTATGACGGGGCAGCGTGCCATCACCTCGCCTCCTGAGGTTTCACAGCTTTCACCAGCCACTTCCATGAATTTTTAGCTTCGGCAGCTGATTCTCTGCAAGCGGTTGGTCTTGTTAGCGGTGGCCGAGACTCAGGCTGCAGGATTCCAGTCTTCCGAAGACAGGGGATCTGTTGGCAGCACGACCCGAGGCAGGCCTTTCTGCTGGGGTTAGATTTGTGCTGTGGTTTCACAGCAGGTAAAGGAGGCAGCCACCTCCCGTCCGGTTTGTTCTGTGGGTTCGCAAACCCTCGTGCCAGTGTGAGCAGCCTGGGGCGAGCAGAGCTGGGGGGCACCTCTTTTGGCAGCAGTGTCAGTCTTCCAAGAGGTGGAGAGAAGTAGCTCAGAGGTGCTAATTCTCTTGAGTGCCAGCTCGGAAGCCTGAGTCCAATGGAACGCGATTAAGAAGTTTAAATGTCATAGCAAAGGTGATTAAAATTGTAAACAAAGCTGCCGGATCTAGTGGGGATGGCAGCCCACGATAGTCAAGGGTGGGATGATGGGGATCCTGGGTGAGACTTGGTCTTCCCCTCCCCTCCTGGAATCTAGAAAGCATCATCCAGACCGTCCTTGAGGAGGTACCTCTGTCGCGTCTCTCCAGCTTGGTACTTCCCATTTCCCACTTCCTCTCCCACCGTAAAGCCCCTCTGTTGACTTCCACTTGTTGAACGCAGCTCCTGCACAGCACAGTGCTCTGCCAAAGTACTCATCGAGTGCAGCGTTTGCCTGGAAAATGAGTTTTCATGTCCCAAAAGGTGCTGAGTTAACCTAGGAGATCTATATGGCATATCATCCAGTCCTGCTTCTCTCTGCTACCATGTCTTTATTTCTGTTTTTTCATCAAAATATGGTCAGCATCCTTGAATGCTTAAACCCAGCATTCCTTAAATTATGTGTTGTTAGTGAGTAGGGAATTTGCCCGGTAGGAATGCACAGCTAAGAGTGCTTACGGCTGTGCTTTCTGCAGCGTGAGATAGTGCTTGCTGTCTCTCCTTGTCTGTCTTTAGGACCTTTATTGGCTTGGAGGTCTCTGCTGGGCATTTCCAGCTGCTGGAGCTGGTCTCGGAGGTGGACAGAGTTCTGGAGGAATTTGACCTTCCCACATTCTATAAGGTGAGGTGTCTCCTGCTTACTTCCCTGCTGGTCCAGACATGCCGACTGGTTCCCTGCAAGAGGCCCTTGAAGTGCTCACCCCATATAAACAGGAGCAGGGAGGTGATGGTCTCCTCTGGGCTGGTCGGTGATGTTCATACTTAACACCCTGTCATGGTTTAACCCAGCCGGCCACTAAACACTGGGCAGCCACTCGCCCACCCTCCCCCACCCCCGGCAATGGGGAAGAGAATCAGAAGGGAAAAGGGAAGGAGAGTTGTGGGCTGAGAGAAGAACAATTTAATAATTAAAAGAAAATAAAAGTAATAATGGTAAAAATAATAATTAAAATGGTAATAATTAAAATGGTAATAATTAAAGTGATAATAATATATGATAATACATCCAGTGTTAATAATATATACAAACAAGTGATGCACAGTGTAATTGCCCACCACCTGGTGACCAACATCTGTCCCATCCTGGCAAGTGATCCCAAAACAGAGAGGTCCCAAAACTGCAATCCTGGAAGAGTGAGAGGCTCAAAAAGAGAGAGAGAACTCAAGGATCAAACTTCCCGGCCAACCCTCACCTATATACTGGGCATGAGGTTGCATGATATGGAATACTCCATTGGCCAGTTTGGGCCCCAGTCCTAAATCTAAACTCAAATCATAAGCTGGGAGTTGTGGCCCTTTGTCCCGGCCGTGCTCCCCCCCAGCCTGTTGTGCTCCTGCACACTGGCAAAACACGGGAGGCTGGAAAGCCCTTGATGTCTCGGCACCAACTGTAACCATCAGTGCGCTGTCGACGTTCTGCTCACAGCAAATCCCAGAGTAAATCCCAAACCCAGGGCTCTACTGGCTGCTACAAAGAAGAACTAACTCTGTCCCAGGCGAAAGCAGGACACAGCTGAACACAACCTTGCTGAGAATGGGACTAGATGAAGTCTATGACTTCTGTATCGCGTCCTGTGCAGGAACGTAAGGATATTAACTGTCTGGTGGCCTCTTGAGAATTGAGTTTCCAGGGCGAAGGGCCAGAGCGTACGTTGCAGTGGCTGCCCCACTGTGCACGGAAGTGGGGTTGTCCTGGGACTGAATGGGCTTAGGCCGAGCACTGTGGGACTGAGGGCGATGCTTGTACCTCTTCCTTGGGCAGTTTCCTGGGGCATTGGTCCAGCCTCTTGGCTTGGTGCTAGCTTTGGGGACAGGTTTTGGATTTTGAAGTTCCAAAACTGGATTTCTGTCTCCAGAGCTGAGGCTCTTGTGGGTTATTCAGAAGTGACCCACCTACTCTCTCCAGGACCATCCATGAGAGGTTCTCTGTGCAGCTGGGAAAGCTGCTGCAGAGTTGACCGCAGGCAGGCTGGGAACCAGGCAGCCTTGCCCACTGGTGTCCAAAAAGGCTGAGGTGGGGAGCCCAGGACTCATCTCGCCTCCAGCACTGTCTGTATCAGCTCTGCAACTGTTGAGCTGGCAGAGAGGGCTCCCAGCTTCCTCTGTGATCCCAGGCAGGGCGTCATCACACCGAATCTCCCACTGCAGCTCCTTGTGTTGAGCGAAGCCTCCTTCAGCGCTCACGGTCTGATCCCTGTTTTGTGTTCAGGACCCGTCGTTCCACATCAGCTTGGCCTGGTGTGTCGGGGACCTGTCTGGCCGGCTGGAAGGGCAGTGTCTGCGCGAGCTCCAGGTGCGTCCCCACGCAGCGTGGAGAGCAGGGGAAGGGCAGAGCTGGGCTCCAGCCACGTCTCCCTGCCGAGGGTGGAGAGTGGGAAATTCGATTCACCAAGCAAGGGGTTGAAAGAAGGGAAGCTTTTTGGGGGTAACTTCGAGTTAAGTCACCCTCCAGAGGGAAGTCAGAGGCTTCCAGCCACAAACGGTTTCATCTCTGGCTTGGTTCAGAGAGGGAGCTGCCAGCTCCGTCCTCTGGCAGATCCAGCCTCCTCGTGCTGACTCTTGCGTCTGTTTTTCAGGACATCGTGGATGAGTTTGAGGACTCGGCACTCCTGCTGCGTGTCCAATGGGAGGAAATCCGCTGCAAGTCAGGGAACAAGTACTTCTCCTTCCCCTTGAGGTAGGGGCCAGCGGGGCTGTGCGTTTCAGAGCCTCAAAGACTGTGATGTTCAACCGAGGACCGTTCTCCGGCACGGCTCTGTGTGGTGCGCGCTGTCACGCACCTCCCACACTCGTCTTGCGTGCTCAGCATCTCTGGGCTGTTTGTGGCCTCGAGTCGGGCTACTTCCAAGTTTGAGCTGCTGGCTGAAGAAATGTGTTTGTAGCGGATTTCATCCTTGCTGCTGCATGTGCTGCAGTCAGCACTGGCGGTTCCAGCCATCCCACGGTCGCTAATTTTGCTGATTTTTTTTTAAAAAGAAAAAAGAGTCTCTATAAAAGCCATAGATGCCTTATGGGAAGGAGGAAGAATGTAGCATAGGAAGCTGTTGCCAAGGGGAGAGTGTCTCGCACAGTTGGAAGTAGCGCTGCCGGATTGTCGGGAGGCTCTGAGCGTGCTTTGAGTAGCAAGAGGCAAGGACATGGAGCTGGACTCTCTCACCAGAGCATCTCCCTACTGTAAGCCAGCTCGGACGTGAGTCCTGGGTCACGTCCGGCGTCCCTCTTGCACTGCTGCTGCCTCTGTAGAGAAATGGCAGCATCTAATCCTTTTGCCCAACAGCAAAAGATGAAGTCTGGAGGGGAGAAGTTGAAAGCCCCTTGTGTTTCAGTGCTCCAGACTGGGTCTAACAGAAGAGGTTTGGTTTAAGGTTGTGGAATCCCTAAGCCCAGGACTTTTTCCGTGGGCTGCTTCTCCAGAGAACCTCGCTGCCGTGCGTGGGCGAGCCCAAGAGAGGGCAGTGTCAGCTTTTGCCCGAGCTGGAAGGGCAGCGTCCACGGTGAGTCAAGGGGTGGCAGCTCCTGCCCAGGCTCCACGCTTTTTTCCCCGTGGGGGCAGCACCTACGGTGCCAGGATGACTCTGAGGGCAGCAGGCTGCACCCTGTCCCTTGGGAGAAGCTCCTTTTTAATCCTTTTATTCCTACGGGGAGGTCGGCTGCAGCCTCTCAGGTATTCAGAGCAGGATGCCGATGTGCTGCCCTGAATCTTTCATTCCACGTCTGGCTGATGAAAGACTCCGGGACTTCTCGAGCAGTAAAAATCTGTCTCCTCATGTCATAAAATTCTTTCTGTGGTATGTTTCAACCGTTCCCTTTCAGACGTGCCCAGCTCCTGCAGACTTCAGATGAGGTGGTGCCTGCGGAGTTGCTCCCATGGCTGCAAAGTCCCCAGGCTCTCCCATGAGAGAGGGGGGAAGGCCTTGTGGCCGTGGGGGCACCTGGGCACTGGTCGTGATGTCTGCCAACGCTGGACCTGTGCAATCGCTGGATTTCCAAATCCTTAAAATTCTGAGAAGTCGGTAGCCAGTCAGTTTCTGGGATGGGGATCTGTGTGACACGGTGCGTCATCGCACCCCGAGTTTTCTTCCGGGAGAGGGAAAACAAACAAAGACGGGTATATTTAGCCCCCGGGGACTTCCAGTGAAACTGGCTCCGGCACAACCGGTTTCTCTGTGCTCCGAGTCCGGCAGTGCCAGGTTAATGCTCAACCAGCG